TAAGCGAGGAAAAGGAGTAAGAGTTTTGTAATAAAACAGAAAAAGAGAATGAGCCAATAAACCTAAACTGAGGATAGTTACTGCAGTTGAATACACGATTTAGCTCTATGCTTCCCAGTAGGCAGAAAGCGCCGTGGTTGTACCTACTGCAATTTATGGACGAAGGGGCCACCAGTAGAGCCCGGGCCCACTTACCCCTCTCTATTGGCCCTTGGTTTATTCACTTGTTCGTGGCCCCTTTGTGTATTTAGCTGGTTGTATAGTTTAGATTTTGAATGTCCCACAAAATCCCATGTGTTGAAAGCTTGGTCCCCAACCCACAGCACTGTTGGAGGTTGTGCCCTTTTAAGAGGTGGAGCCTAGTAAAAGGAAGTTAGATCATTTGGGGTGTGTACTGAAAAGAGACAGTAGGACCCTGGCCCCTCTTCTTCCTCTCTTTCACTGCCCAGCCAGCATGAGGTAAGAAGCCTTCTCTGACACACGCCCCCTGCCCTTCTGTGCTGCCTTTCCACAGGCCAAAGCCATGTAGGCCAAAAGATCACTGATTGAAACCATGATACAAAATTAACCTTTCCTTCTTATAAGTTGACTATCTCAGGTACTTTGTCACAGTAACAAAAAGCCTCCCAACACAACTGGTCAGCGTTTTGGATTGATCTTGGATTGTTACTAAATTGGATGGTGAGGTCATGGAGACCACAGTTTGGAGCACCTACAACTGCCCCACTCTGTGATATGAACAGAGGATAAAATGAGCCTCAGAAGAGTGAAGCAAAACACTAGCCAGGTTGGCCTAGGGGCCCACATCTTCTGATCCCAGCACAGTCTCTTCTCCAGTTTGGTGGGCTGATATAATAAAACCTCATAGACTGTGACTTTCAAAATCAAGGTGTTGGCAAATCAGAGCTTAGGGTCAGATATCTCAGATCCAGGAACCAGCCTGTGTGATCAGTTTACCAAGCTGGAGCGAGCAGGACCCCTGCAGGTATCTCAGGTGAGAACAGCTGTTACCCTGGCTCAGCTTGAATGTAGCGGATTCAGTTATTAATTCAGACTGTTGAAAAACCAAGTCATAGAGAAGCAGCCATTGTCAAGTGCCCACTGGGTGCCAGGAACTTATATCATGTCTTCATCTGAAATGGGAATGACAGTGAAGTTGTCCCCAGCTCTCCAGGTTGACTAGGTATCCAACAAGCCATGGACTCACTTGGCATGGAGAGCATACTCTATCAGCCCCTGAGAAATGTCACTGTTATCACCTTTATCGTTATTATCTTCATCTTCCTCACAACAGTCTCATGAGGTACGAATGGCCAGTGCTTCTCCATTGCTCAGGAGGGTGGCTCAGGGAGATGACACACCCCAGGGCCTGAGTTACAGCCAGGTTTCTCACCAGGCTGGCTCAGTTCAATCCCTGTGCTCACTCCACTCTCAGTGGCAGAGGTCAGGACATAAAATGAAGGTTGAGGACAAGCAGGCAGAAGACAGTCAGGCTTGGGGTGAAGTGTATATGGTGTGAGGGTCCTTTACTGGGTGAAGGGGCTTTGAATGGCAATTGCAGAGGGAACTTGGACACACACGGTGGGCTGCAGCTGAGAGTGTGGTCCTTGTGCTGGGGCCAGGCTCAGGCCACGCCCAGCACCTAGAGGAACAGAAGTGGCCACAGAGCAGGAAGGCTGAACCCAGTGCTCAGGACTCCAGGCAGGGTCGGCCCTCTGAGGGACCGTCTCTCTGCACTTGGGTGTTGGGAACCTAGAAAGGGTAAAGCAGCATTGATGGACCACATTCATGACTCGTCTTCATTCCATTTAACTCCAGTGTTAAATTGCAATGAATCAAGGGTAGAAGTTGAGGGCTGGGGATGTGGCCCAAGCGGTAGCGTGCTTGCCTGGCATGCGTGCAGCCCGGGTTCAATCCTCAGCACCACAAACAAAGATGTTGCATCTGCCGAAAACTAAAAAAAAAAAAAATAAATATTAAAAAACAAATTCTCTCACTCTCTCTTTTAAAAAAAAAAAAAGGTAGAAGTTGAGGGTGCCATCTGAGCCCGTTTCATAAAGTGCTCAGAGGAGAAGACAGAGTGTCCCATCCCTGCTACCCTTTCAGCCACCCTTGGCCTGGGCTGTCTATGCCACCCTTCCCTGACATCACCATGTGTGTAGGCAGCAACCAGATGAGAGAGGCAGTTGCAATGGTGGAAGCTCAGGTCCTGCGGTTGGAGCACCCTGGCTTAGAGCCTGGCTCCGTGACCTGAAGAAAGTGTGTTTACATCTCTGAGCCCCTGCTGCCCCTTCTAAAACAATGCCAAGCTCTCAAGGTTAATTAAGGTTCAAGTGAGAACGGTGGAACCACTTAGTGTACAGGCTGCACTTAGTAAGCACTTGATGAATATTATTGTCTATGTCATTGTCTTACTTCATTTGGGCTGATATAATAAAACCTCATAGACTGTGACTTTCAAAATCAAGGTGTTGGCAGATCCGGTGTCTGGTGAGGACCTACTTTCTGGTTCATAGACTTTGACTTCTCACTGCAACATCGCATGGCAAAAAGAAAAAAGAAGTCTCTGAGTCCTCTTTTTTAAATTTAACTTCTCTTTATGTTAGAGCATTATAGTTACACATAGTAGTTGGGTTCATCTCGATAAAATCGTACCTGCATGGAATTCAAACATTTCAATTCACATGCCCCCACTTTTCCTTTCCCTCCTTCCTCCCTTCATTCCCCTACTCTGCTAATCTTACTCAGCCATAAAGAAGAATGGATTATGGCATTTTCTGGTAAACGAATGGAAATGGAGAATATCATGCTAAGCCATTCTCAGAAAATCAAGGATTGAATATTTTCTCTCCTTTATGGAAGTTAGAGCAAAATAGGGGAAAGAAGGAGGGGAGAATTATATATCATAAAGGTCTAGGAAAAAAACAGTAGAGTAGAAGAAAAAGATCAAAAGAGAAGGAGAGGAGATGGGAAAGGGGATGAAATGTGGAACCAATTTTTAAAATCATGCTATGTGCATATATAGATATACCACAGGGAATTTCACCTTTATGTATAAGTAGAACCAGTCAAAAATAAATAATACTTGAGTGAAAGGGAAACTCCATTGTGTATATATACCACAATTTACTAAACAATCCATCTATTGACAGGCATCTGGGTTGCTTCCATAATTCGACTGTTGTGAATTGTGCTACTATAAACGTTGAGGTGACTGTATCGCTGTAACATGGTAATTTTAGTTGTTTTGGATAAATACTAAGGAATGGGATAGCTGGGTCATAAGGTGGTTCCATTCCTAGTTTTTTGAGGAGTTTCTATACTGCTTTCCAGAGTGGTTGTACCAGTCTGCAATCCCAACAATGTCGGAGTGAGTGTACCTTTTCCCCCCACAACCTTGCTGGTATTTATTATCATTCATCTTCTTGGTGACCGCCATTCTGTCAGTCCTCTTTTGTAAGGGCACTAATCCTATTCATGAGGGCTTCATTCCAGTGACTTAATCATCTCCCACAGGCCTCATCTTTTAATATCAATCATTGCGGGGGTGAGCGTTTCAACCTAGGGATTCTAGGGAGACTTAAACATTCAGGCCATAGCTGTCATCATCATCATCATCATCCTTACAACAGCAGTGTGAGGTTTCCTCTTAAGATGTCCTTAGTTTCCCCATCTGCAAAATGGGAATGGTGCCAACTACTGCAGAGTGTGGCTTTCAGGATTCAGTGAGAGGACCCAGTAGTGTCGTGCTTGGCACAGAACAGGCTTTCCCCCCTCCTCCTCCTGTCAGCCATCTGCATGGGGCTGGTTGTTCCAATGACCTAATTCACTGGAGCCCACAGCCTTTCTGGAGGATTCCCCAGACAATAAGGTCCTGAGACCCAGAGTCAGGCTGAGGAGGCGTTGGTACTTTCCATGCACCTCGGGAACGAGGGTAAGGTCAAGTTGTCAGCCAGAGAGAGAAATAACAGGTCACACAGCTCTCTGTGCCACAGGATCTCCCTCTCACTCTTGTACCCACTCTAAAGGCACAGATGGTTTGATTTCCACTTTGCAGATGGGGAAAGTGATGTAAGTGACCAGTCTAGGTCACACAGCACCTCTCCATGGGCTTGGTACTTCCTGCCTCCTTCCATAGCTGCCTATCATCCAGTGCTGGATGGTGATGAGGCAGTGGGGGGAGGAGGAACAATCAGTCCACCTGGGTACCACGGATGGACATCTGGAGGCTCCCCACACACAGAGGCTCACTGGTTTGAGGAAGTCTGCTATGACCATGGTCTGGTGGGCCTGGGGGCCTGGAGAGAAGCAGTGAGAAGAGCCAACCTTCTTGAAACCTCAGGTTGTTTCCAATGCCTCCTTCTGCTCACAGTCAGGATTGGCTCTTGAGAGTTCCAAACTACTTTAGTATTTTGCAAGTCAGTCTCAGGGCTCTGTGAACATAGGCTTAGATGGGAGCTTTGAGAGGATCTGTTTCAGGCCACCCACCCATTCGATGGAGCCCCAGAAAGAAGTGACTTAGCTAAGGAGGTTGCAGCCAGTGTTCTGATAGCTGCATTAGATCATGGAGATGAGAAGTCTGGGGTCAGGATCACCCAGAGCAGAGGTCACATGAACAGGACGGGCAGGAAATGACAGGGCAGTGAGGCTATGGGGACACGCTAATTCTTATTCTGCTGGCACTGTCAGCAAGCTTTCACGTTGTATTTTCCCTGCAACCACCCTAAGAAGTTGAAGAGACATAAGTCTCAGAGAGGCCCAAAGTCAAGCAGCTTCTTAGTGAAAGAGGCAGAATTCAAATTTGGACCTGAATTCAAACTTGGATCTCTGGTACTGGTACTGGATTCAGCAGCATCCCCTCAAAATTTGCGCTCTTCCTAGAACCTCACCATGTGACCCTTATTTAGAAATGGTCTTTGCAGATGTAATTAGCTAAGTTAATATGAGGACATACTGGGGTAGGGTGAGCTCCTGATCTAATATGGCTGGTGTCATTATAGGAAGAGGAGAGACACCAGGAGACAGGTGTATGAAGACACGGGAAAGGAAGAGCGCCGCGTGACTGAAGATGAAGGCAGAAGCTGGAGTGAGGATCTTAAGGCAAGGCCAGCAACCGGCAGGAGCTGGGAGGGGTGAGGAAGCGCTCTCCTCCAGAGCTTTCAGAGGCAGCATGGCCCTGTGGACACCTTGATTTCAGAGTTCCAGCCTCCAGAGCTGTGAGACAATAAATTCCTGTTGTTTTTAGCCACCCACTTTGTGGCACTTTGTTACCGCAGCCTTAGCAAATGAATACTTCTCCTTTCCTAGGTATAGGAGGAGGAAGGATTTATGGGCATCATGGATCCCAGGTGAGGTCCTGCCAAAATCTAGACTTTGAGGGCAAACTGAAGGCAGAGGTGAAGGCTGAATGGAATACCCACTTCCTTTTCGTGGGCTCTGCGGGACACCTTACCTGCGGGATCTTGATTACCCGCTGGTTAAGTGTAGCTACTCCCATTTCAGATATGAGGACATTGAGGTTCAGAGAAGGGAAGTCATTCCCCCCAAGTTTGTTTTCCCCTACCCCTGGGTACTGTACAAGGAGCAAATCCACACCCCAGCTGTAGTCTCAGGGACATAGTTTACTCACTTCCCTTCTCCGAGCCTCACTCCCTTCATCCAGAAAATGGGAATAACAGTATCTGCTTTGCGGTGGTTGTGAGGATGAAATGAGTTCATTCCTTCATTCAACGCCTATTCACGGAAGGCCTCCTCTGTGCCAGACCCTCCTAAACACACAGCAGCGAACAGCATGGACCAAGGTCTTGCTTCCAAGGAGTCAGAGTCTCCATCAGGTGCTCGGCAGTGCCAATATTTGGTAAGTGCTCAGTGGAGCCAAGTAGGATAAGAACCTAGGAATGAGCAGGATGATGCATGGAACAGGTTTGTCCTTTAAGAAGGACACAACATCTCTATCCCTGTCAGTGGTGGGGCAGCCCCTGGCCAAGGAAGGCAAAAAGTCCTTTGGGCCTGGGCCCTACGGTCTTGGGCACCCAGCAGTAGCTGCTCCCAGCTGTCTCCACAAAGCCAGCTGAACTCTATTCCCTAGGCACATCTGTGGAAGCAGCTGGAGGGGCCTTGGATCTTCTCCTGGGGCCCTCCTTGCTACACTGTCCCTTCAGCTCTGCCTCCCCAGCTCAGCCCCACCCGCTTCCTGACACTGTCCCTGCCTGGGCCAGGCCTGGGCCCGGCCTGAGCCACCCTGGAGACACTCCCAGCTGTCCTGATATCCCCTCTGGCTTCTGCAGACACTTTCGGTCCCAGAGGCTTCCTCTGGGGCACTAGCCCCTCCCTGCCTTCCAGAGGTGTCCCCAGACATCACCCCTGTGCTATTCTTTTTTACCCTGACAACTGTGGCATCAAATGTCAACCAAAGTCTGCTCAGCACAGGCAGGACGGGGTCCTTGATAACTGTGTGGTTTGGGGGTGTCTTCCGGAGCCCCCCAAGAGGGCCCGGGAGTGACTGGGTTGGAAAGGTCTGGCTCTGCCCCAGCAAAGCTCTTCTTCCCGAACCTTGGCTTCTCTGAGCCGATGGAAGGGAGGCAACTCTCTGCTTTCACTGGGTGGGGGGTGAGGATCAGGAACACCTCCAAATCTTTTGCAAGTGGTAGCAGCCAACCCTGAGCGTTAACTGTCTTCCAGGTGGGTTACGGAAGTGGGTGGTAGGGTCCACAGCAGCTCCACCCTCAGGCCTCAGAGAAACCTGTCTTCCTGTCCTCACTTGCCCTGGATGAGCTGGGCGAGCTGGCACTGAGCACTGGGGACACGGGCTCTGGCGGGCCCTGACAGCTCAGCAGTGGCAACAACAGTGGTGGCAGGGTCTATTCTGGGAGATGGGAGGGGCCAGGAGCTGAAATGGGAGGAGGAAAAAGAGCTTGGAGGAAACAGTCCTTGAGGGCAAGGGGAGAGGCCCTGTGGCCAGGGTGGGGGTGTCTGCCAAGGCCTGCTTTAGGAGGAGTCCATCGTCTGGGCTTCTCATGGGTGGGGGTGGACCTGAGGCTAGGATTGCGCTAGGCTAGTTTGGGGGGAGGTGTAAAGCTTTGCAATGTGAGTGAGTCAAGTGGGTCAGGCACACAAAACAAGTGTGCTGAGCGAGTGTGCTGGCACTGGAATGCATGTTTAAGTACTCCAGAAGGTGTGGAAGCAAGCGTGCCTGCGTGTGGAAGGAGGAGGGATGAAAGGGTAAGCAAGTGGGGACTTGTTGGTGACCAGGAATGAATGTGGTAGTGAGTGACAGGGAGGCTACACGGGAGCTGGAGAGCACCCGTGGGGGAAGGGAGTGGGGGCAGGGGGTCCAGAAAAACTTGGGAAGGTGTGGGGTGAGGCTATGGAACTGCACCTGAGTGCAGGACGCGTGATAAGTGTGGAAGTGAGTGTGAGTGGATAAGAGTGTGCATGGTAAGAGCAGGTGGGCATGTGAGTTGAGAAGCAGGAGGGGAGATACAAACAAGGACAGTAAGAAAAACAACTAGCACTTATTGAGAGTTTGGGACTGATAATAGACATCTTATTTCATTTTTCAAATACCCTGTGAAGGTAGCTCTATTGTGACACCCACCGATAGAGTAGAAAACGGTGGCTTGGAGCAGTTAGGCAACTTGCCCATACTTCTAATCACTATTAGACTCGTTCAAGATGATTTGTGAGCAGGGGCCAAATTGTGATTGCACACCAGTGGGTGTATTGAGTGTGTGTGAGAGAGAGAGAGGGACAGAGAGAGATGAGTGTGTCAGACATGGCCCCAGAGGAGAGGCCAGGCAACAGCTGTGGACACTGGGCAAGGCAGGGCCCAACAAAGCCTGAGTCAGCCACCAGGACATCTCTGCCAACCTGGCTTCCTAGCACCGCAGTGGCAGCCTATGCCAGGGCCCCCAGCTAAGATTCCTCTCAACCCTAGTATGGCCCCAAGCAAGCTCCCATCTCATGCTTAAAGCTGGGCCAGGGATGAAGGCTGGCAGGAGGCTTGCCTGGCCTCCAGGTTACCGAAGGGAAAGCCCCTATTGTGGCCCCCCTAGGCAGGGAGGGTACATGAGAGCTGTGGAAGGGGGTCCAGCAGTGATTTCAGTCCCTTGTGGCCTTAAACAGAACCACCTGGAGGGTGTGTGTGTATATAGGGGGGCAGCCAACAGTTCCCATGCCCACCCTTGCCTTTGGGATGTGACTCAGGCAGATGCCATGCCAGGCATCTGCAAGCTGGGCTTGCTCCCACCCTGGGAGGTGAGGAGGAGCCCCTTCAGCCCCACCCACATCCTCATCCTTAGCCCTACTCTCTGGGCCCTAAACTGCAAGAAAGGAATTCTCCAGAGGACTGTCTGCTATGTTTGAGGCACAGCCCTTCTACCACCCAGAGAACTCTGCACATTCTGCCCCTTCAGGAATCAGGTATTGGCTAGAGAGATTAAGAGCTTGGGATTCTAGACCTGCTCATTCTCTCTGGGAAAGTCATCTTCCCGTTTGGCCTTAGTTTCCTGATTGGCAAAACAGGAATATTGTGCTGAAGGGATCCAGGCATTGCTAACAGAGCAGCAAACCATCTGGGCAAGCAGGCAACAGAGACATATGAGAGCTGGGGTTAGAGAAGTGTCAGGGTTAAGTTGATGTTTGAACTGAGTTTTGAAGAATGGGAGGGAGGCTTTCTGATGAGGGTCTTGAGAAGGGGAAAGCATTTTCTAAGCAGAGGGCATACCCCAAGAGAAGGATGGTAGGTGGAGTGGTGGCTAGAAACCTAGCCTATCACCCTATGGGATGAGGTCATGGACTGCCCAGCCTCTCAGCTAGCCTCTCCCTTCTGAGGTCATAGTGATGATCTGATTAACATCTGACTCCTCCACTCGTCTGTGTAGTATGGACCTCATTTGTGTCAGTGATTTCTTTTGCTATAGTGCCCTGAACATAACCAGGGGCATCAAAAGTGCTCAATAAGTATAGGTTAAACAAATGAGAAGCTTTTCCCCAAATACTCTGAACTTTGGGGTTAGCTTGTTTCAACAGGCCTTGTGAGAACTTCCCACAGATTCTAAGACAATGGTTTCCAAAGTGTGATCCCTGGTGCATCATCTGAAAGCTTATTAGAAATGCAGTCTCTGCTCAACCCAGATCTGCAGAAACAGAAACTCAGGGGCTGGGGTCTAGCCATCTGTTTTAACAAGCTTTCCAGGATGATTCTGCTTCACGTTGAACTTTGAGAACCAGAGTTCTAAAGCTACCCACAGGCACCATAAGCATCCATGAGAACCCATTTGCAGATGGAGAAGCTAGCATGTGGCAAAAGCTGGCCTAGAACCCAGGTATTCTTGAACGATTCCTTTTCCCCAGTCCAGTTCAAGGCACAAAGAAAAGGACAGGGGCCAAGGTTCTTGGAACCAAGACTTGGAAACATCAAGGGTCTAGATACAGAGGGCGGGGCATTCCTTGTGGGGGGGGGGAGAAGGCGGGGCCAGGTCTCTGAGTCCCGCCCCAATCCCGTTGCCCTGGGAAACCCCGGGTTGTAACAATAACCCGCTGACGCGCTTCTGGGAGGGATCCTGTCGAGTCAGTGGGCGGGGCAGTCCTTCCGCGGACCAATGGGCTCAGTCAGGTCCCGCCCCCGCACCACCTCCCGGAGCTCCGAGCAGGGGGCGGGGTCGGACTTGCCTCTTCTCCCCTGCTCCGTAGGCGGCGCTGTGGCGTGCAGGGGCTACGACGGGGTCGCCCTGAGCGGGGAGCTCCGCGCGCCAGCCCCAGCCCGCAGGCGGGGCACCCGGGCAGGCCGAGGATTCCGCGGCCGCGGGTGAATACGCCCCGCCCCCTCCCTCGCCGGGCCCGCCCCAACCCCGTCCCCCGCCCGTCCCGAGGTGCAGCCGGCGCTGAGCGCGGCAGGCGCGGGAGCTGGCGCTGGAGCCGGAGCGGCGGCGGCGGCATTCACGGGGCGGCGGCGGCGCGGGCTCCGGCACGGGCTCGGGCTCCGGCATGGTGCAATCGAGACTCGTCCCGGGAGAGCGGGGCCCGTGCGCGGGGCCGGCGCCCGGGGAGTGGCGGCAGCGGCGGTGGCGGTGGTGGCTGCAGGCGCAGGCAGGCGGCAGGTGCTAAAAGCGGGGCTGGGCGAGGTGTGTACCCTCTGGGCTCCCGGGCCGCCGCCCCCTCACTGTCCGGGTTTGTCCTTCTTTTCGTGCTCCCCAGTGTGTCCAGCCCCCTGCCTCCGCGTCCCGGCCCATGGCGCCCCGCGGTTGAGCCGGCGCCGCCAGGGACCCCTCCCGTGGGCCTCCCCGGGGCGCGCAGATCCCGGAGCCGCCCGCCCAGCCTCCGCGGAGCCTCCCTCCCCTCTTCGCCCGAGTCGGGCGGGACCATGGCCGCGAAGCTGCGAGCGCATCAGGTGGACGTGGACCCGGACTTCGCGCCGCAGAGCCGGCCGCGCTCCTGTACCTGGCCCCTGCCGCAGCCCGACTTGGCCGGCGACGAGGACAGAGCTCTGGGCGCAGGGGTGGCCGAGGGCGCTGAGGACTGCGGGCCGGAGCGCCGGGCTACGGCCCCGGCAATGGCCCCAGCGCCGCCGCTGGGCGCGGAGGTCGGACCGCTGCGGAAAGCAAAGAGCTCCCGGCGGAACGCGTGGGGGAACCTGTCCTATGCCGACCTCATCACCAAAGCCATCGAGAGCGCCCCGGACAAGCGGCTCACGCTCTCGCAGATCTACGACTGGATGGTCCGCTACGTGCCCTACTTCAAGGATAAAGGCGACAGCAACAGCTCGGCAGGCTGGAAGGTGGGGGCGTCCGGCTGGGGAGGGGGCTGGGGATGCCGATTGGGGCTTCCGTAGGCTGCTAGGTGGGTCTGGTCTCCGGGCGGGCCGTCAGGAGGGGGCTCTGGGGCACCCCCAGGGGTCACGGAGTGTGTGCCCAGGGCGTGGGGCTGGCTAGCGGACAGGCAGGGGCGTGCTGGGAGCAGCTGTGTGTATGCTCCCTCTCAGGGAGGGATGCTGGGTGGGAGGTCTGGTAGGGTGACCAGGGACTGTAGCTTTGAGGCATCCCTGAGGAACATCCCCACCCCATCCTTGGGGCATAGCAGAAGAGCGGATTCCCAGGCCACGGACATTGGGGACTTCCCTTTGCTTCCCTGAGTTTGCTTTGTACTCTTGTTTTACCCTCTCCACTAGGGCACCCTTTTAAAGAGCTAAAATAATGACTTGGGGCCAGTGGCTGCTTTCCCTCCCAAATCTCTCCACTGCCCTTCCTGGAGCCAGTCCTAGGGTGAAGAGTGCAGACCATGGGCCCACAGTTCTGTCTGGCGCCAGGAGTTCACCCTGGGGCACAAACCAGCCTGGGATGAGGAGCTTGGCAGGTGACCTGAGGTGTGAGTTCTCCATAGGGTAAATGCTGCGTGCCCTTTACCTGGGTCAGCATGGGGGACTGGTGATGACCCCTGCTGGTGCCAGGGTAGGGTGTTGAGGGCCAGGGATCTGCCCCTGTCCACCCCCAGGCAGCCTGACTTCCACCTCCCTGGCTCTCTGATTCCAGATGCATTTAGGGGCTGGGGAAGGGTCTAGGGTACCCCAGGGAGGCCCTCTGTGCCAGAGTGGAAAGGGGGGAGCCATCTTGGGAGAGGACAGGGTCGGGGCTTGATTGAATTGTGACTGTAGACCCAGCTCTCCTCTGGCCATCTTGTCTGTGCCTTTGGGTTAAAGGGGTTGGAGGGGGGTTGTGCCTAAGAGGTGAGCTGTCAGACTCTCAGTGGGAGAGGGGCCTTTGTGAGAAGGCATGCCCACATCCAGGAAGGGGGCTATACTCTGTAGTGGCTGCCAGCAGAGTCCAAGGAAGGAGGTATGTTAGTGGACCTGGGCAGTTTTAGGTGCCCATAGCAGTATTGTAGTGATCAGGGTGTCCTGACCTGGGAGCTCATGGCTCTCGGGCTTTGTACTGGCAGCTTCTCTGCATCTTGCTAGCCACTATGGGGCAGGAACATGGGCCAGAGGAATAGACCTGAATCTCCTTCCCCATCCCCTCTCTGAAACCCTTAAATTCAATCCCCACCAGAATACATCCTCCCAAGTGCGCCCTGCCCTTCAGCTTTGCTCTTACTTCCCTCCCTGCTCCCCAAGCCTTTGCCCACCTTCCACTTATCCCTGTACCCGATTGATATTCACTATCCTTAAGGCAGAGTTCAGATGCCTCCTCCAGGAAGCCCTCCCTAACTCTTTTTAGCTAACTTGGGACTCCCTCTCCATGCTTGCATTGGGCATTAGTCATTTGTGTTCTGTCTCATTTCCCTTTCCTATCTCACCTTTGGAAGTCAGTGGCAGTATCAGCCATTCTGTGCCGACAGCACCCAGCATAGAGCCTGGCACCAAGAAGCCATTAATGAGTGCAATGAAAGAGTGAAGAGAGAAGTGGATGGTGCAGAGGATGTGTATTTGGAGTCAGTGGAGAGTAAGGTGGGCCAGAGTAGGCCAGGAGGGCTTCCTGCAGGAGGTGGAGCTCCAGCTGGGCTTGATGGATGAGGGAGGATGGGGAAAGATGGGCAGAAGGGGACCTGAGGGTGGAAGCCAGGAGAGAGCTGCAGTTCATTGAATGTCTTGGGGCCAAGCTCTGTGCAGCCACTGCATACATCTTTAATGTTCTCAGCAGTCCCTGAGGTGGGTTTTACTCTGACCATTATCAGAGGAGCACTCTTAGACCCAGAGTGGAGGAGTTAACTGCATAAGGTCACACGCTTAGAAGATGGAAAAGCTGGACTGCAACCCAGGTGTATCTCCTTCCAGGGCCCCAACAGAGCCTCTGGAACATTGTCTGCTGGCAGCCTGGGGTGAGGATGGGGGAGGTGCTGAAGGCTTTTGAGCAGGGACTAGTATAAATCCTAAAATGTGGTGGCAGTGTGCTTGAAGATAGTTTAGTCCTGTAAGTTCATTTCTCAGATGGTGAGACTGAGGCCTTGAAAGGGGATAGGACTCTCCTGAGGAGTTCAGTGAGTGGCAGACCGTGGACCAGAGTCCAGGTCTCCCTCCTGCCCACTGGATGTGGTTTCCACCGCACCACACTCCTGGGGGCACACTGGCTTTCCCTGTGCCTGGCTCCTGGGTTGGAGTCCTGGCAGGCCCTGGGTCCTGGGCTGGAAATTAGAGAAGGAGCCTCAGGCTTGGACTCCTGTTCTAGGCCCTGGCAGAGACCACCTAAGTACTGAAGGGGACCTCCCTCCATACTGTTTCTTCAGTGGCTGTCCCCTTCTGCCCCCGCTGCTCCTCAGGAGGCCTCCTTTCCCTCCCATTCTTGGAGCTTTTTGCCCCTGTGCCTCTTCTCCCATTCCCAGTAAATTCCTCCAGAGGACTGATGGAGGAGCTATCCCCAAGTTTCAGCTACTCCCACATTAACAGAGGCTGCAGTACACTTCAGGTGCCCAGATTGGGGCCTAGGCCCATTATTCCTTCCTCCCTTCCCCGTCCCAACAAAAGCATTGAACTTGAATCCCTAGGGTGTACCAAACCCTGCATTCCATAGAGTGAGGAAATCTTCAGGGTGCATTAGGCTCAGCCAGTTCCACACCCAGGCCCTGAGTTTTACAGACAGGAAAGGCTGGGGGTGGGGCAGGGGCTCCTGGAAGGTGGGTTAGATATCCTAGGGAGCCAGGCAGGTCCTCACAGAGGAGGTAGCACTTGATCTGAGCTTCCTTCACTGGGGAGGGAAGAATTTGGGTGATAGTCTTTGGCAGGGTGGGGGGTGTTGAGTATACTCAAAGGCAGGGAAGTAGGATCGTACATGTTGGATTTAGGGAACATTTTAGGTGTTCCAGGCTGGAACCTAGAGTCCCCCAGGCATGGCAGGGAGGTAGCATGGTAAAGGTGTGTGTGGGGGGTGGTGGGAGTCAGCTCAGGAAAGGCCGATGTGCTAAGCCTTCACCCTATATGATGTGGAGAGGTAGTCAAGTGTGCTGAGGACAGCAACTGGAGGAGGCAAGACCAGTAGCAGGTTCAGAACACCCAGATTAGGCTGAAGCCTAGAGAAAGGCTGTGCTCAGTGCTGGGAATCTTACCCAAGGGGCTGGTTAAGTTTCCCTTGGGTTGAAGGGTCTCAGGCCTAGGATCTGGGATTGAACAGGATGTCCCCCTCTTTCCAAGGTGCCCCAAGAGTGTGACTATCCAGATAGAGCTTGGCTGTCCCTCCCTCTTGGCTCCTCCAGTCGCACTTTTCCTTAGCTCTTGACTCCTCCGGGAAGCCTTCCAGGCTGTTCTGAGTTCTGGAGCTCCTTTTACTTAGAGCTCCTGAGTTGTTCTGTCTCCTTTTGTGTTTCCTGGCTGCCAGCTCCTTTGGGAGCTCCCAGGCCAGGCCTGGGCACCTCCCATTCCTGTCCCCAGGCCCAGTGGGGAGGAGCACAGTGGATGGGGACTTCCCCTCTCTTTCAGGGAATAGAGCTGCCTGTCTGCTGAGGGGTGGGTTCAGAAGAGCTGGTGCTACCCCAGTCTGGCCCAGCCCTGCCCAGTAAGTTCCAGGTGGGGAAGGGAGGGACTGATCTGAGGGTCCAGGAACAGGGTCCTGCTACAGGCTCTGAGCAGTGGTTGTGAATGTAGGGCGCCCCCTTCCCTCTCCCCTCAAGCCTGCTCCAGCGGGGCTCCCTCCTCCTTTGTCCTCGGGGATCCCCATCCCCAAGGGCTGGTGGGGGTGCAGGAGGAGGCGGTGTGAGCCCCGATTGGGGGGTGTCCTCACCCCCCTCGCTGCACGAGCGAGGGGCTGGCAGCTGCCCGCCTCCTGGGCACGGGCCCGTGCCAGCCGCTCCTGGCACAGTTGTTGGCACGCCCGGCAGACTCCCACGGCCACCTGCTCACACCCACCCACGAGCGCTGGCGCGCTGCGGGCCCTTCCGGCTTCCCGGGCCTCCCGGAGCCCCTCCCCCGCCGCCGGGCCGAGCCGCCACCCCAGTCCCCAGCTCCCCACGGACCCCTCGCTCGCCGCCCGCCGGGTGGCCCCCGCCTTCGCCCCCACCGCGCAACTTGGGGAGCTCGGGAGGCGGGGCTGCTGGGGCCTCCGTGGTAGCCGCGCCGCGGGGGAAGGGGACCGGGAGGCAGGCAGACAGACCGACAGACAGGGTGAGGGCCCCGCCTGCCACCTGGCGCCGCTCCAGCGGGACGATGGCGGGCAGCGCCGTGCCAGGCGGTAATTGCAGACAGACTAATTTAAAGAGATGAGACGGTTATTTTTAACTCGCGTTAAGGTAATGAACAGCGCGGGGGGTTTGCGGGTTCGAAAGTTCAGCGCCCCCAACCCCCACTTTGTGCGGATCGAGGGGCCCCTTCTCTGCACGCCCTGAGGTCTCCAGGCTCGGAACTGACTCGGGATAGGTGGGGAGGGAGAAGCCCTCCTGCCAGAGGGCCAGAGGGCCAGAGGGCCGCGACGCGGCATCCACTAGCCAGGCGCTGCACTATCAGATCCTCCACACCTTGCTTCCAGGTGGGGAAATGACTTACCCTGAGGCCACACACCCAGGAAGTCGCAGACCTAGGAACTGAACCCCATTCTAACAACCCTCAAACTAGAGCTTTTTCTATGCCCATGGGTAGGACTGGGGATGGGAGGGGGCTGGAGAGAAGGCCTTGGGTTTGGACTTTGAAAGGATTGAGGACTTTTTCCATGTAGCCTACCTTGCCCTGTCATTGAGTGGCAGCCAGTGATGGCTACCACCTGGGGTCCTGGGGTCTGTGTCCTGTGAGGGCTGAGTGGGTGGTCATGGACTGTGGCTGCCAGCCTCTGGGATGGGGTGCTTCAGCTGTAGGGGAGCCCC